GTGCTGGTTCAAAAGTCACTCATTGGGGCCTCTTGTTGGAACCTATTAGCAGCAAATAAATATCATTTATCTTAACGGTGTGAGTGAGAGCCCATTCAGCTGTCGGGGCTGCAGGATTGATGTGGCGTCAATAGCCCTGGTGTGTTTGCTGCCAACCTGGTGGGCCTCCCCCCGTGCTGCACCCCCGGCAGCGGGGGCTGCGCACACGTGCGTGTGGGTCTGCACGCCCCCTGCTCTGGCTCCCCATGGCTCAGCCCTTGCACGCCAATGGTGGGTGCCGCCTAGGGCCGTCTGTCCCCATCTGCTCAGGATGCCGAAGGGACTCCTGCTGGCACAGGCACACTTCTGGTGGCCCCGCAAGCTCGGCAGTTGTTCAGCCGAGAGCTAACTAAGTGCCAGCCAGGTGTGAGCAAACAGACTGGCTGTGTCCTGGGAGGAAATCGATAGGAGATAAGGTGCTGCCGGCCCATCGTACACTGATTAGCAGCATAGCACAGGCAGGGAGGGGGTGCTGGGGGCTGCAACCCAAGCTGCCCTCCCCTGTGGCTGCAGGCAGCATCTGAGGACAGGCTGGTGGCCAAGTCCACCCCTTGGGATGGCAAAAGCCCCCAAAGCACTGGGGCTTTGCAGCAGCCCTGAGCACCAGCCTCGTGGTGGGGAGCTGTGGTGTGGGGCTGCAGACTGTCACCGTGCGACCCATCTGCCCAGGCCCAAAGGCCCTCATTTCGCTTCAAGAACTCTCCAATCTATCACTTTCCACCATGTGCTGGGCTGGGGGGACTTTGCAAGGAGCCCTGATCACTCGGCAGCACTTTCCCAGGGCTTAGGGAAGACCGATCTCTCCCGATAGGTCCCTGCCCCGGCCCCCCGCGCGTGTGGAGCTCATAACGCTTCTGCCTCAGCCATGCAGCCCTTCTGCTGCCTTGATGAGACAAACGCCAGCGGGTGGCAGAGGTGATGGACCCTTCGCAAGGAGGCCAGAGGCCAGGTCCCGTGAGCAGCGCAGTGCACAGGGCCGGGGTGGAGCTTGCGTGCCCCCTGCGCCCCGCTGCCGTGGCAGGGCTGGGAGGGCCACGTCACCATCTGTGGGCAGAGCCAGCACTCAGCAGGAGCAGGCTCCCCTTTTTGGAGAAGTGCGGGGCTGCTGTTGGGATATTTTTTTGACATTTTCTAAGCTGCCCAGCGTGGCTGACAATTTTTAATGTACTAACTGCCTGGTCCAGTGAGCTGATTAATTGGTGCGGTGGAGATCAATACAAAACAGAAAATTAAAACAATTTTAAAGTGATTAAGTAGTTTAACACCTGTCTGATGCCACGTCAGGGCTGGGAGACAAATAAAGCAGGTGGCAAAGGGCCTGCTGCAGCTGGAGAGAGTGACAAATCACAGCCGCAGCCTGGCTGCCCTGTGCGTCCCCGCAGCCGGACGGATCCCCCAAGCAGCGCTGCTCTGCGCAGGCCCCGGGGCAGTGGCCGGGACCACCCTCC